TAATCTTCCGTATCAGACAATTTACATACTCCCCTCCCTAAATGATTTTATTACTCCCTCTCTCCCTAAATATATCTCACATTTCTATTACCAAGGTAAAATATATAGTTTTTTCAATTCATACTAGTTACATATTGATATAGAAATAAAAAATAAAATTTACATATCAAAAAATTACATGAAAAGTTCTTCAGAATAAGAAGTGTCAAGAATATTTTATTTTATCAAATAGCCAATGAAAATGTAGAAATAAGAAAAAATATTCTCGCGAATGCTGAAAAAGCAAATGTTAGATATATTTATGGGCAGAGGGAGTAGTATTATAGTCTTTCGATAATTTTTTTCTTTGTTACATTTCATAAAATAAAATATTTTTGTCATTTCTTATTTCATAAAACTCAGATAAAAATTTAGATATATAAGTTGTATTTTAAATAAATAAATAAATAAATTTTATTTTTAAATTCCACGCCACTTTTCCTATAAATTGAGGCGTGAGTTAGTTTCATGAGAGGCCGGGCATACAATTTTGACATTATGTCACACTTATATTTTCTTTGAAACACTTTTGATTTGAACGATTTTTGTTTTATAGTACCGAAACGCGTTTTAAGTTTAAATAATGTTTTAAGTACAAATTTGTTTTTGGACAAGTTCACTAATATTGTTACCCGAGTGGTCGGTCTCGGGCAAAGAGGATCTGGCTAGCTAGTTGCTTAAAAACTACATCTAGTATTCTCTCTCTTTCTAAGAAATGTTAGGGTGTCACCACATGGGTGCTACCATGTGTGTGCACCCATGCTTAACACAGACAAACACAGCCGATAATTGTATGTGTCGCACAAACAATTATCGTCTGTGTTTGTCTGTGTGAAGCATGAGTGCACCTATGGTAGTATGATACGGTACACACAACGGACCAAACCGACGAGAACGTGGAGAGACCCGAAAGGCAACCGGGACGTGAGCGTCCTAAGAGGAATGTTGGGCCGCCTAGACGTTACTGTGACTTTGTTTGATTATTATTATTAATATTATTGTTATTCTTGTAATTTAGATTTTTATTAGGCGAGCGATCTTATAAGCTCCTTCGATAGTTTCTTTTCGGTTCTTTACCTCGATGTTTTTTTGAACCGACAGGATAGAAAACTAGTAATTTAGGATGGGGACTCTCAAACTCTATTTAAGAGGTGTACTACTCCTTCATTATGGGTACGTAATAATACACCAAATCTTCCCCAAACCCTAATTCTCTTTCTCATGTATCTCCTTCTCCTTCTGGTGAACGGCCGCACAAGCGCGCCCAAGCCTGGCCGATTGATTCTCGCGGAAGACGAGTATCAACTCATGTGATGGCACCCTAGCATAGTCTTCTAAAAACACACCTTGTACATTCAAAATCTTAATAAAGTTCTTACGTTTTTTAAAGATAGAAATTCCCCCCTTTCTTCTCATTTAGTAGCGAGTAGTTGAGAGTAGTGCATATCAAAGTAGTGGAAATGCCAACGTTTGATTTTAGAAAACCCATCATTATAGCTAGGTTAAACGTACTTCTCTCTCTCTTCCTCATAGGCGGAAATAAATCCTCCCTCAGCTCCCTCCGTAACATCGTACTACCCCTGTTACATCGTACTAGATGTAATGAGTATCCTTGATTGATTAATTGATTTGAAAACACTCATTATACCCCAGCTTGCTACACAGCTTGCAGTGCATATTAATTACAAGTATTAAGCTATTTGTACAAAATGAAGCTCAAAATTAAAGCACAAATATTCACAAACTATCAGCATTCAGTATCTTATAACTTTACGTTAACTAATTAATTACTCCATGTTAATAATCACTTACGGAGTATTAAAGGTTGAGAATTTTATTACCAATTTAAACCCAAATTAAATTTCTGACTATGGTAGTAGAAAATGGAAAACCCTCTTCCATGCATCGAGAGTGTATCGATCACTTTGTAGGGATTTTGCAGATACTCCCTCCGTCCTAAAAAGTTTGTCTCATTTTGACTAAAGTAGTAAAATAAGAAGAGATATGAAAGAATTATTTGGGAGAAATTTCTCTCGTATTTCTGATGATTGCAATTTACAACCAAGGTACGTATATATATATAGATTCTCACAAGTCGAGAATCCTCACTAAACAAGGAAAGGGAATCCCTATACAAGTAAACTACTAATACAAGGAAATTACCAAAACTAATATATACGAAAATATATTCTAAATATTTTCTTTCCTTTTACACTCCCCCTCAAGTTGGAGCATGTAATGCTGAAATGCCCAACTTGGGAATAAGAAACTCCAGTCGGGACTTCCGAAGTGCCTTCGTATGAATATCTGCGAGCTGATGCATAGTAGGGACATGCAACGTGCGAATCTCTCCTCGTAAAAGTTCATCACGAACAAAGTGACAATCAATCTCAATATGTTTCGTGCGTTTGTGAAAAACTGGATTAGTAGCAATATGAAGAGCTGCAGTGCTGTCACAACGAACAGTCATAGGGTTCTTATGTTCAACTCCTAGACATCGCAACAAATTCTTCAACCACTTCAATTCACACGTAAGAACAGCAAGAGCCCTATACTCAACTTCAGTCGACGAACGAGCCACTGTCGTCTGCTTCTTTGTCTTCCACGAAACAGGTGAGTCCCCAAGTTGCACAAACTAGCCTGTCAGTGATCGTCGTGTCAAGGGACATGCTGCCCAATCCGAATCACACCATCCTGTGAGCTGAAGATTATTATCTGCAGACAGGAAAATACCCCGCCCAGGACATCCCTTCAAATAATGAACCACTCCAAGTGCTACAGACCAGTGATCCTCCCTAGGTTCCTTCAGGAATTGTGCTAAAGTGTGTACTGCATAAGAAAGCTCTGGTCGTGTAACAGATAAATATACTAACCGTCCCACCAAACGGCGATATGGTTCCGAATCTGTCAAAAGAAGAGCTTGGGAAAGAGCCAAATGATGATCTGGCTCCATGGGTGCACCTAACGGCCTGGCACCTAACAATCCGGCTTCAGTAATGATATCCAAAGCATACTTCCATTGACAAAGAAATATCCCAAACGTGCTGCTTGCCACCTCAATGCCAAGAAAATATTTCAGTGTCCCCAAGTCTTTCATATGAAAACAATGTCCTAGATATGCCTTGAACTTGCTCACCATATCCGAATTATCTCCAGCAATAATCAAACCATCAACATAAATCAAAACATGTATGACTCCTTTCTTTCCAACGAAAGAAAATAAGGAGTAATCAGGAACAGACTGGACAAACCCATAGCGTCTCAAAGCTCCAGACAACTTGGCAAACCAACACCTTGGAGCTTGTTTCAAACCATACAAATATTTCTTCAATTTGCACACTACATTAGAAGAATTAGAAAAACCTGGTGGCAGTCTCATGTACACTTCATCCTCAAGATCTCCATGAAGGAAAGCATTGTGTACATCCATCTGATGCAACTCCCAACCCTTCGCAGCTGCAACAGTTAGAAGAGTGCGTACTGTAGTTAACTTGACCACAGGAGCAAACATTTCTTTGTAGTCAAGTCCCTCAACCTGATGATTGCCCAGTATAACCAATCTTGCCTTATACCTCTCCACACTGCCATCAGACTTGCGCTTGATTTTGTACACCCACTTGCAGCCCAGGGGCTTTTTATGACGTGGAGGAGCAACCAGCGACCACGTCCCAGTAGCTTCCAGTGCATCAATCTCCTCCCGCATAGCCTTCCGCCATCGCTCATCCTGAAATGCCCTTTTAAAATTTGTGGGCTCCACTTCCTCATCAAGTGCTGTGAGAAAACACTTGTGTTTATGGGAGAACTTTTCATACGTGACATACGAGGAGAGTGGATATCTGCATCTTTCTCCGCTGTGTGGTCCAGTGACATGTGTAACATAGTTCGCAAGTCTCACATTTGGACGTCTTTCCCTCTGAATACACCCTAAAGTCTCTACTTTTTGCTGGGAAGAGGACGGTCGACCGCCATCCGTGGAACGGTCCACGGGGTCGACCGTCTGTAGCATCGCTGGTTCATCAAGTTTCTACCTCGGGGACGGTCGACCGCCATCCGTGGAACGGTCCACGGGGTCGACCGTCTGTAGTTGTGCTGGTGCGTCAAGTTTCTGCCTCGATGACGGTCGACCGTCCTCCATGACACGGTCAACCGTTGAATCTTCTCCTAAGGGTCCGTCATTCTGCCCTTCCGACGGTCGACCATGGTCATCCGCACGGTCCACTAGGTCGATCGTCTGTAGCTCTTCTGCATCTCCATTACCCGGCGGGCGACCGTTCCTCCAGGAACGGTCCAGATGGTCCTCCGTGGATACTTCCTTAGCATCTTCAAAGTAATCGGTGGCTGAGTTGCTTCTTAATGCATCCCCTCTGGGTGTTTCACCTGTGGAAAATAAAAAAGGGAAAATATCTTCACAGAACACAACATCACGACACACACTGATCTTTCCGGTGTCCGGAAAATAAACACGCCATCCCTTCTTTCCTTGTGTATAAACCAAAAATATTCCAAGAAAACCATGAGCATCAAATTCAACAGTGCAGTTGTTATCACGAGTGAGTTGGCGGACAGAGATAAGATTGTGTGTGACATGAGGGGAAATTAGGACATTGTGTAAAGAAAGGGGAGGGGTGGTGGGGAGAGTGTGGTTACCAACCGCCGTAGTGCGAACTATAGATCCATTACCGACAGTGATATAGTGAGGTGAATATAAAATTTGAGAAGAAACATGAGAAAGAGTACCTGGATTGGAGGCAATGTGATTTGTAGCACCGGTATCCATGAGCCATGTGGGTTCTCCAATCCAGCCCTGGAGGATGGCGTCGAACTGAAACCATTCATCGTCGTCGTCGGAGATGGGAGCAATAGAGCCATTGAGATATCCCTGAAGGTTGAACCGCCNGAGTGTGGTTACCAACCGCCGTAGTGCGAACTATAGATCCATTACCGACAGTGATATAGTGAGGTGAATATAAAATTTGAGAAGAAACATGAGAAAGAGTACCTGGATTGGAGGCAATGTGATTTGTAGCACCGGTATCCATGAGCCATGTGGGTTCTCCAATCCAGCCCTGGAGGATGGCGTCGAACTGAAACCATTCATCGTCGTCGTCGGAGATGGGAGCAATAGAGCCATTGAGATATCCCTGAAGGTTGAACCGCCGTGCAAGAAGAAGGAACAAGCGGCTCCACTTTTTGTAGTGGGGTTGAGAAAAGCTGAGTTGGATTGGAACATGGAGTTTGACATTGGAGACGGAGAAAGCCAGATGTGGAGATTTTTGGGTGGAGGTTTGAGAGGTGACTTCACTTTCGCCCATTGTAGGAGGAGGAGAAAGCAGCCGGCCGAGAAGAAAGGATGAGGAAGACGGTGGCGCTGGTGGTGGTTCGGCGTAAGGGGAGGGCCGAAGCTAGGGAAGAAATTTTAGGGTTTTAGTTAGGCTCTGATAACATGAAGAAGTGGAATTTTCATTGATTAATTATGAGAGGAATACATGTATATATATATACAAAGTCTCAATCCTAGTTATGGTAGGAGAGATATTCTTAGAAACTATACAACTATGAAAACAAATCATAATACAATAATATTAAATATATTTTATATATTTAACACCCCTAACCAAAAGTAGAAATTTGGTTTTCCCTCCTCTTAATAATATTTGTCTTCTCATTTTTTTGGATCTCTTTTTCTTTTCTTTTTTTCTCTAACCAAACAATAAAATTGTTTTCCTATCTCATTTTCTTTTCTTTTTTTCCTCATAATGCCAATATCACCGGCCTCCCAGCCCCCACGTACCCACGCATCACAGGGATCATCTCGCAAATCGCTGATCGAGGCACTGCACATACAAGAAACTGCAGCTCCAGACCCAATGTCGTAGGATGATAGTTCATGATTAGCTCTATATCCTCTAATCGTATAAGTCAAGTCAAAATCTTAGTTATCTGTGGAATAAAGCACTTAGTTATCCGTTGAATAAAGCAAGGGCTACTACTCCCTTCGTCCCAGAGTATTCGTCCATTTTTTACGTTTGGAACTGTTCATCTAAACACTTTAACTCATCAAATTCTCTCAATTTGTAAGCCTAAATATAGTCATGTGTGATCTTGTTTGATTTTTCTTAACATATAGATTATTAATATATAATTTCTATAATTTTTTAATATACAAATTACAAGATAAAATGGATTAAAGAAGTGTATTAAATTGGTTTGTCCACTTTCATTTTTGCACATCATCCAATACACTTCTTTAATCCATTTTATCTTGTAATTTGTATATTAAAAAAATTATAGAAATTATATATTAATAATCTATATTGATGGTGTAAATTACCACGCAAATGCTAAGTATGAATAATCGGAAGGGTTGTAGGTGGAAACACCTGTAACTCGGTTTGTCATTATTGATAATAGGAGTTATTACGAAGTACAAGCCGTGTGGGTTAATTAAAGCATACCTCACAAATGAGGGTTTTAGGGGTATTTATAATAATCCTAAGCACGTCAAGCACGTCTCTGATTATCCAACCGGTCAGCCGACCGACCGGTCAATAGGCGTGCTTCTAAAAATAAGTTGTTAGTTATTGGCGACCGGCCTTCCCATCCAACCGGTCAAATAGCCCGGGCTGGGAAGGATGCGTCCTGTCACCTCCATCACCATCCGGGTGGGTGAACCAACCGGGAGGTTCCCTGGGTTATTACCCATCAAGGAGTCCTCCGATTCCCGGTCCTGTGGGGACCATCAGGAGCGGGAAGCATTCGCGATCATGTTTCGAAGTTTGAACTGCCCAGTTGCTTTTTGGCGGGAAAATCGTCTCGGAAAACCAGCGCCAACTCAAAATATTTGAATTTTGAATTTTGAAATTTCGAAAATCGGGTATCCGAGGCAGGAGAATCTTCTCAAAGTTGGGTATGGAGCCGCCGATTTATTGTGCCGTTTCATCTCCCCGAGAGGTTATGATGACGAATCATTTCAGTCACCACGTGTCGCTTTGCCATTCGCCCGTCTGGGCGGCATCTCTCCTATATAAAGCGAGGTTTTCCCTAGAATTTCCTCACTTGCAAATCTTCAATTCAAAAACTGCCCGGCTGCTTCTACTATTTCCGAGTCCTCCAAGTCTTCTAATCGTCTCCAAGTATGTTTCTTTCCTTCCTTTTCTGCGTCATGTCAGACCGTGAGGATAGCCAGAACCTTTCCGTCCACTCTTACGGTTCTAGCGGCCGGTCTCCGACTTTTGGTTCCTCTTCTTCTTCATCCTCTGATTCCGAGCACCCGGCTACTTCTCCACAGAAGAAGCCGGTTGATGCTTCCACTTGTGCCCCTTCTTCTTCCGTGGCGCAAGTGATCTCGGTTGCCCAGCCCGGGGACGAGGGCTTCATTCAGCTTGATGACCGGTTGCTCCAAGAGCAACCGTCGTATATGAAGAAGCCCCAAGTCCACGAACTGCGTAATTTGATGCCGGTGGGTACCAATTGACCTACCGGGCAACGTGGAAGAGCATTATTCCCCTCCATGCCGGTACGTCGATTGGTATCCACTACCATTCTATCAAGGACCTGGGCGAATTCTCTATTCACCCATTCAAAGTCCTTTTCCTTGAGACGTACGGTATCATGCCCGGGCAGCTGGCCCCTAATGGTCACCGTTTGTTGGGCAGTTTCATCAATGTCTGCTGGTTCCTTCGTATTCCTCTCTCCCTTCGTCTCTTTGACCATATGTTCGATGTCCGGCCCGGGTCCAAGGAAACCCTTGGATTCGTGGTGGTGTCTTCTCACCAAGGCGGGGCATTCCTCTGTGGCCTTCCTCCTTCTAACAAGAAGTGGAAGGACAAATATGTTTGTATCAAATTGCCCCCGGCTGCCTTTCCTTTTGCCCAAAATGTCTGGGGGAAAAGAACGAAGCGCCAGGTCAAACCAACGGAGGCCGATGACCTGGTTGCCTGGGAAGCCACCCTCCGGGCTGGGGATGCCTCCACCCGCGGTCTTTACCACGTCGGGAAGTGGGGCGTCTACCCCGGCCGGGAGACTGACCTTGAGCCAGAGATTGTCCTGCTCGAGGTGATCCCCGAAGCCATCCCCATCAGCCGGGCGAGGGGATCCAAAGCCCTGGCCACAGCCACCGCCGGTCCTTCACGCCCGGTGAAGAAGAAGAAAGAGAAAGGTCAACCAACTGCCCTTCCTTTACATTTTTTTATTTTTTTCTCATCACTGTTCTTCTAACCGGTTTCTTTTCTTGCACTGGTGAAGTTCCAGTCGAAATTTTCCATCCCCGAGATTGTGGTTGAGGAGCCCTCCACTGCTCAACCATTCAACCCTCCAACCAGCCAGCCTTTTTCTCTGGAGGAGCAACCGGCTCAATCCCATCAGGGCACCAACCAGCCGATCCACTCAAGGGAGCTCTTCATCAATGTAGAGACCTTCGAGTTCGAGAATATGATGGGGGAGACCGGCCATACCTCTCAAGCCGGGCTGGCAGGTCATCCCCATGTGGATGACCATGGCGAAGAAGAGGTCGCTGAAGAGTCCCTTCAGCGGAAGAGGCGGAAGACGGAGGTGGTGAACCAGCCAGCCCACCAGGTGGCCCAGTCCTCCGATGCTAGCAAAGGCCCAATCGTGCCCCGGTCCATGATTCTGATGTCCAGGTCGGACGAAGAGCTCTTCCAAGCTTTTCGTGCTGACCTGAATGAGGTAATCCCCCCTCCTCCCTCCTTACCGTCCTCTTTCAGCTTCTGATATTCTTCTGATAAAAATTTTTCATGTCATTAAAGCAGGTCGGTCGGATCGGAGAGGAGTACTTCGCCCGGTTGGTGAAGTCAAAGGATGAGGAGAGGGCCCGGATGGAGGCCATGATGGTCCAATGTCGGAAGGATGCTCAGGCAGAGAAGGTGGAGGCGAAGTGGTTGGAGCACTGCACGATCTACCGCCAGCTCTACGCTAAACACGATGGTCTCCTTAAGGCCGCGAAAGAGGCTGACGAGCAGGCCCAAGAGAAGATCCAACGACTCGAGGCTGATAACGCCCGGTCTGCTGAGGAAATTGCCCGGCTAGGGGATGAACTGGAGAAGGAGCGGGCGGAGCGTGCCAACCTTGCCGCTCCCTGGGCACTCCAAGAGCCTGAAGAGTTCGCCGCGCGTGCACTGCCGGACTGGGAGACAGCCATCCGCTTCTTCTAAGGTTTATACAAGCACCAGGTATCGGCCGGGATCGTGGACGAGATCGGTACCTTCGGCTACGAGAGCGGTCAGTATACCGAGCGGCGGGCTCTCTACGGCATCCTTGAGCAGCGGATCGAAGGGTTTCGGCCCAAGGCCTTGTCTCTGCCCGAGCTGAATGACGAGGAGCCGGTCCCTCCGTTCCCAGGAATCTGAACTGCCCGGCCTTCTTCTTTTTTTCTTTTTTTTTATCTTCTGATGTAATGATCTGCCTCCGGGCACTTTTTTGTCGTCATATATGTTAAGACAAATCAAACAAAATCACACATGACTATATTTAAGCTTACATATTGAGAGAATTTGATTAGTCAAAGTGCTTATATGAACAATTTCAAAAATCAAAACTGGACGAATACTCCTGGACGGATGGAGTATAACATCTAAACTTGTTCAAGGATCAATTTTGGGACAATTATATTCGCAAAAGATTTTAACCAATGACATTTCTACGTGACTATGAAAAAATCCTACCAAATTTGTACATATGATAGGCATGATTATTAGTTTTCATCTTGTTGATCGCATAATGTATGATTAAAGGTAATGCAATTGCGAGAGAAAGATTATAAGCTTCAAAATTTTCTTAAAAAGAAAAGAGTAAATTTTTTGAAATGCCCAAAAAAAATCTTTGTATTTTTTTTTATACAGAGAGTGTTTTAAAACAGTATCAAGAGTTCTATAGATTTAAAAGTGATAAAGTCAAATGTTTTCAAATGTTTTTTTAACCAAGTGAGTTATATTAGTCTAGTTAGATAATTTCGTCGAAAAATTCCTAACGACATACGGAGTGTCATTACAAAGAATAAATTTTTACGTATAAAAAATTACGAATAAATTAGTCTAGTTAGATAATTTTGTCAAATGTAAGGACCTCTGTTGTCTTTTTGAAAATAGAGGGACCTGAGAACTATTTCAACAAAACTCGCGTCACCCGTGAGTAATTTTCTGGTCGGATACAAATACAATTCAAATACCCCTAAGCTTAGTCGATACGGATTCAGATATTGCATATCTGTGGCGGATATTATCCATTTATAGCCCTAAACCTTTGTGGATTTTTGTTATAGAGATAAAAATTCAATTTAAAATCTAAGGATATCACAACCTTCTCAAATGTCTCGATTTGTATGAGATATCAATCTTTCCATCTTTGAGTCTTGAATTCTTGATATCTTTGGTGAAGCACAAAAGTTCTTCGTGAGGGAGTATAATATTCTTCCGTTTGGGAAAACACATTTACTTTCTATTAAAAAATTACTTTTATATATCTTCAATTTTTCTTATCATACCTATCACATTATACATTTTCTCTAATAATTTATCCATTACATCAAATACAAAATTAAAAATCAACTATAATTTAACACATTCTTATTTTGACACTTGGTCAAAATAAAAATTATTTTCAAGAACGGATGGAGTATTACTTATTCATGAAGTTGAAATAATGTCCACCTTATAGTACCGGCCAACCTATGGCCAGTTTGGCTCCCATTAGTTACCAGGCCTTCAAGCTGTTTAAAGGGCGTACTAATTACACAATTTCGAAGGTGGGTAAGTGGGCAGAGTATACATTGATGAATGGAAAAGAAGAGAAGGCATGAAGAAAGAAAGAAAGAAAAAGAAAGAAAGAAAGAAAGGACAAGTGCCAAAAGTGAGAGAGAAAGTTTCAAACTTTAAAACTTGTTATTTACCTACACAAAGAAAAGATCTATAGAACAATTAGTTCGTCACCATTTACAAAAGCAGAAGTAAAGAAGGAAACTAACCAACCAACCACACCCATCTACAAGTTAATGTGGAGCCATTTCCTTTTGCCCATACATTCCTTGCCTTCCTCATCACCATCATCATCAATGTTAGTGGGGACCACCCAAAGTGCTGCCGAAGCTATTCTCCTTCTCGACGACCAGCCTGAAGAGCCTGCACACCCGGTCCTTGTCGCTGCACTTGGCGACCATGTCCATGTACTGCATCGCGTCCTGGGGGACGAGCCCTTNGTGTTGCTTCGAATGCTCCTGGTTCCCAAAAAAAATAGGAATCAAAATTGTTGCAGTGTTCATGACAGAATCACATAACATTTGCAGTTTCTTGGGGTATGTATCTATTACATCAAAGACAAAATTGAAAATCAACTACAATTTAACATTTCTTATTTTGACACTTGGTCAAAATAAATAATGTTTTCAAGAACGGAGAGAGTATTATTTATTCATGAAGTTGAAATTAGTTATGAAAACGTCCTTTATAGAATTACAAAAATAATGCCCACCTTATAGTACCGGCCAACCTATGGCCAGTTTGGCTCCCATTAGTTACCAGGCCTTCAAGCTGTTTAAAGGGCGTACTAATTACACAATTTCGAAGGTGGGTAAGTGGGCAGAGTATACATTGATGAATGGAAAAGAAGAGAAGGCATGAAGAAAGAAAGAAAGAAAAAGAAAGAAAGAAAGGACAAGTGCCAAAAGTGAGAGAGAAAGTTTCAAACTTTAAAACTTGTTATTTACCTACACAAAGAAAAGATCTATAGAACAATTAGTTCGTCACCATTTACAAAAGCAGAAGTAAAGAAGGAAACTAACCAACCAACCACACCCATCTACAAGTTAATGTGGGTGGAGCCATTTCCTTTTGCCCATACATTCCTTGTCTTCCTCACCATCACCATCATCAATGTTAGTGGGGACCACCCAACGTGCTGCCGAAGCTATTCTCCTTCTCGACGACCAGCCTGCAGAGCCTGCACACGCGGTCCTTGTCACTGCACTTGGCGACCATGTCCATGTACTGCAACGCGTCCTGGGGGATGAGCCCCTCCATGAAGAACCTGAACAGGCTGAGACTTGCTGCAGCTTGGTCAGCTCCGCTGCCTCCAGCAGCGGCAGCAACCTCCTCTCTTCCTCTTCAAAGTGTTGCTTCGAGTGCTCCTGGTTCCCAAAAACAAGGGAATCAAAATTATTGCAGTGTTTATGACAGAATCAGTGAATCACATAACATTTGCAGTTTCTTCGGGTATGTATCTATCATCCCCAACATCGAATTCAGATGATTTTTATGCATAATGTTTGATTTTAAGAGTTGAGGAATTTAACAAATAGAAACATGAACGGGCGTTTGGTAAATGGCGTATTTGTTTAGCAGTCAAGTCTACAATGGAAAAAAGAACAGTTTGAAAATCATTCAAAATATCAATGGTTTACATTTGGAATGAAAAGTGATTAATTATGAATAGAGAATGCAGACAACTTCAGGAAAATCTTAAATTTGAATCAAAAAAATGGTAAAAAAAGTAAAAGATCGACTAAGATCTGCCGGTACTCACGCCAACAACAACAACTCAGTTGTATCTTGATGAGTGAAATAGAATGAGATAAAAGGTGAAAGAGAGAGCTGAAGGAAGATGGACTTCTACTTTTTCTTATTCTGTTTTCTTCATCCGAATAATGGAGCAAGACTCCTACATATATGAGTGCACCAGATGGCAGCCTACCACTCAATAGTTGCCACCTGTTTCTCACCTATTAATTATATGCTAGGAACACGACAATAATAGGAAACTTCCTAGCAAAAGGGCTGGCGCAGCAGCAAGCAAAAAACTAGTACAAAAGGACAAAAATAATACAGCTAATAGAAGATAAAAAGGACAGTGCAGCAATTAGAATAAAAGCATATTTATTTCTCTCATTGTGTTGTTTGACGGGCAGTTGCTTAGGACCCTAGCTACGATCAATTTCAACATGCTTCATGCGTTCATGATGGACTGGATTGGCTGCAATTGATAGAGCTGCTTTATTGTCACATTTGAGAATAGTTGGACCAAGATTCTGCATCCCTAGCTCCTTGAGCAGTTGATTGAGCCACAAAACTTCACATGTGGTTAGGGCCATGGATCTATATTCTGCCTCTGCAGATGATCTAGCAACCACAGATTGCTTCTTTGATTTCCAAGACACTGGTGAGTTACCCAACAAAATGCAATAGCCTGTTGTAGACTTTCTTGTAAAGGGGCAGCCAGCCCAATCACTGTCACAATAGGCCGTTAAGGTTGCACCAGAGCTTGAGGCCAGAAGAATGCCCTGTGATGGTGAACTCTTAAGGTATCTTAGGACCCTTCTGGCTGCCTGCATGTGCACAGATGTTGGCTTGTGCATAAATTGACTCAGAAGATGGACAGTATATGATATATCTGGTCTAGTAATGGTAAGGTAGATCAGCTTTCCTACAAGCTGTTGGTAGGGACCAGGATTGGATATTGGCTCCCCAACATCAATATGAAGTTTGACATTAGGGTCCATAGGTAACTTCAGAGGTTTTGAGCTTCCCATCCCATATTCCTTTAAGAGATCTGTCACGTATTTGTGTTGAGAGAAAGATTCCATTCTGTGATCTGTCCACTTCTATACCCAAGAAGTATCTCAGGTGACCAAGGTCTTTCATTAAGAACTGAGATGCTAGAAAATTTTTGGATTCAGAAATGGTTTGGGAGTCATTCCCTGCTATTATTAAGTCATCAACATAGACCAAAATAGCCGTGTGATTATCACCATCATGTCTAAGGAATAGAGAGTAATCACTCTTGGATTGATTAAATCCAAAGGATTTGAGGGCAGAGGATAATTTTGCAAACCATTGCCTTGGTGCTTGCTTAAGGCCATAAACAGATTTTTGAAGTTTACAGACTTTGGTTGGGTTCTGCTGGCAGTAATTAAAAGAAGAGTAAATTCTATAATTGATCCTTTATAACAGGGGGTTTCCCTATTTAGTCCTCTAATATCAAATATTACCTCAGTGGTCCTTCTTTTATGGGTACTTTTCCACAAATAGTCCTTTTTTTGATCTTCTATCATGTTGGTGTTAATTTGAGGGCTAAAAGTGTAATTTCACAATGATAATATATCTTTTTTGTCATACACAGTTCCAAAGACTGTTCCGTTTGCATTGTTTGTGAATTACTGGCGCTTTTTACGACAACGATAGTCTACAAATGTAATTTTTCGTCAGAATCCTAGCCCACAATCATAGTCATTATTTTTGTGTTATTCGCTTAACCAATATCAGAACACGTCACTAGACATAATGTTGATGTCAAATTATACTTTTAGCCTTTAAATTAACACCAACACGGCAGAAGATCAAAAAAGGACCATTTGTGAAAAGGTATCCTTAAAAAAAGGACTACGTGAGTAATATTTGATAATAAAGGACTAAGTATGGGAACCCCCCTATTATAAAGGACTAATTATGGAATTTACTCTTAAAAGAAGCATTTCCATTGGCTGAAATTGGATTCCCAGGGCCAGCATAACCATTAGGGAGTTTCATATACACAGTTTCTTCTAGATCTCCATGCAAGAAGGCATTTTTCACATCCATTTGGTGGATCTGCCAGTCTGCTAGAGCTGCCACTGCTAAGAGAGATCTCACAGTGGTTAGCTTTGCCACAGGAGCAAACGTTTGCTCATAGTCAATGCCATATTCCTGCTTATTTCCTAGGATCACCAATCGTGCTTTATATCGTTCAATTTTTCCATCAGGGAGGTACTTGGTTTTGTACAACCATTTACTGCCAATGGCTTTCTTTCCCGGTGGTAGATCAGTTATGAGCCAGGTTTGATTTTCTTCCAAGGCCGATAGCTCTTCATTCATTGCTTGAACCCAGTGAGGTTGTCTACTAGCTTCTACAAAGATGACAGGATCTCTGATGTTAACAAGACTGGTCATGAAGCAACTGAATTGAGGGTTTACTGATGTAGATGTGAGATTGGTTATAGGAGTAATGTAATCACTCATCCATTGAGGGCGATGAGAGTGCCTTACTGATCTCCGTAGAGGTAGTGGTGTGGTTGGGTTATTTTGAGTATGTAGGGGTGAGTCTGTCTGAAGTGGAGTAGGGGGGTTAGGTGTTTGGTTTGGATTGAGATTTGTTTCCTCCTCTTCTTCATCTTCAAAGGATGAGTCTTCCCAGCTGGAGGCTGGCTGTATGGTATGTTCATTTGATGGAGGAATCAAATGAGTTATCTGATTTTTGTCAAGAGTGTAAGGATAAACTTGTTCAAACCACTTTACATCTCTAGACACAAAAACCTGGTTGGTGAGCAGATTTAAAAGTCTGTATCCTTTCTGGCAGGCAGGGTACCCTAGAAATATGCAAGGCACCCCTCTAGGATTGAATTTATCTGCATTTACTGTAGGGTTATAAGCAAGGGCCAAGCATCCAAATGCTCTCATCTGATGATAAGTAGGTTTTTTGTTGTACAGCATTTCAAATGGAGTTTTGTGTTCCAGGACATGTGAGGGGAGTCTGTTTATGATATATGCTGCAGTTAGCACACAGTCTCCCCAATAGGTCTTAGGGAGGCCTGCTTGAAACCTCAAGCATCTAGCCACTTCTAGCACATTTCTATGCTTCCTTTCTGCTCTTCCATTTTGTTGTGCCCTATCAACACATGTTGTCTGATGCACAATCCCATGGTTCTCATACAGTTGCCTACACTGAGCATCATCAAATTCTAGTGCGTTGTCAGACCTCACAATCCTTACTTTCTTGTCAAATTGTGTACTAGCTACCTTGATAAACTTAGCTAGTGCCTCAAATGATTCTGATTTGTACCTTAGCAGTGTCACCCATGTGGTTCTAGTGTGATCATCAACAATAGTCAAGAAGAACCTATGATTTCCTCTTGTTGGAACCCTATAAGGTCCCCAAACATCAATGTGCAACAATTCAAATGGATATTTCGCATGTGACTTGCTATTAGGAAAGGGCTGCTTGGTTAGCTTTCCCATTGGACAAGTTACACACATCCTTTCAACATTGATATCATTTTTATCCCATACTCCAATTTGATTCAGCTTGCTCATAGGGGCATGTCCTAATCTCAAGTGCCAAATCAAAGTTTCACTCATCTTTTCTGTTTCCACATAACCATGCCTGATTTTTGCAGAACTAGTGTTTGC